AATTTTTGTCACTCTAACCCCCCCCCCCATAATTTCAAATACCCCAGAGGTACAGTAATTTATACTGCCAATCATATCGTGATTGGGATTGCAAAGAATCAGTTTGACGTTACGTAAAAGGTCATATATTAAGCCATTCCTATGATCTGTCGAAAAAGAATTACAGCAACAATCAATTCGATTTGATAATTGGATAGTAACAGCGATTTTTTTTTGCTTTGCCTGTAACGTTAAAGAAGGGTGAGATATATAAGGGAACTTTAGTCTATCGGTGTTGTCACTGTTATTGTTGTTGCCGTCCAAACAATGTCAAAGTTTGTTATATCGTTCATAAGTATAAAAACTCGCGTAGGTTCTATTTGTCAAGTTTCTAATGCGAAAATACCATGCGACTCCAAATCTCACTTTGTTATTTTTAGTTAACATTATTGATACTGTATTTTTAGAGTTAAAAAATGGTGTTTTCAACTTCACCTTGCTTCTTCAAGTTCAGCCATTGTTTTGTTACTTTTAAAATATGTAGATAGCTTGGGTGGACTTCTGGCAGAATTGTTCATATAATGATGAAATCATTAATACCCTATTGTTAGCCATTTGTTTGGTAATTTTAATTAAGAAATAATATTTTCAACATCTTCTTTAATACTAATAGCCTGATTGCTAGGATATTGTTAAACATGTGTAACTACAAAAACAGCACATGTGAACCAACGAGTATTGTAAAACAAATGAATTTATTTTTGCTTTGTGAAAACTGAATTTAATATCTATTACATATAACTTTCTACACAAATATTCACATAACTTATTCACGGAGTGTTCAAATATTACTCTTGTGCCAACAATAGCATTTTATTCATCTTTATAAATATTTTTAAATTTCAATGGCTGTTGATTCAAACCAGCCAATCAACGAGCACAGTGCCTGACGACTTCATTTGAAAACGTTCCAATACTATTCAATCGGCCAATAGAAACCTCTCGTTCAGTTTGGATTGTGGAATTTATAAATACCCGTATTGATGAAAAGAATGCATTTCTTGAGCCGAAAGCAATAAAATATTGTATAAAAATCATGGTCGAAACAAAAATATTGCGTCGTTTGGCGAATACATGAACAGATTAAAGTATGTTCGCGACGACTAATATTAAAGAAACTCTTAATTTTGTGCTGATAGCAGTTTACTAAAGACATTATAATTTTAAAGCGGGGGTGTCGTCACCTGCGCATGCGTCAGATGGCCATAGCATGTCATTGTTTATAGCGTGTGTTGTTATCATCGTTTGGGACTCAATTCCCGCGCGTGCGCAGGCGACGACCCTTCCGCTTTAAATATAGCTCTCATGAATGCTGTAATATGACAGCTAAGGCTTAAAAAAATGTGTGTTTTTGCTCAGCGTAACGGTGCGCACCACGGAAACGTACTATGAAACACACTGAAATAGCTACATGCAATTTTCGCGGAATTGACTTTTGGCATAAATTTACAGAATCTTAATTTAGCTAAAATGTCAACTATCCCCCTGTGAGAAAATACTTTCCGTTAAAATAGCTACATCTTGAATCTTTGATTAGCTAAAATAGCATGCTAGCTAATAAGACATGTTTTACAGTATATTCATGGTATATTGCCACATCTGTAAAAGCAATTATGTTTCATCAGTTTGGACCAAAAATAGCACTGGCATACACATTTTGGCGGGAAAATATTTGTTAGAATGCAGCGATGGTGCATTTGAGATACATTTTTTTTTTATCTTGCAAACGGTACTGGGTGCAAATTTCCGTTGAACTGTTTGCATAGGCTACAAAGGCACGTGACTAAACAAGTAAGACACTGATTCGCCGTTGTGTGTTCGTCGAATGGCTTCGGCTAAAATCGAAGATATGTCAACAATTGCGATCTTGCTGCAGTCATCTGCGTTTTTCTCTTGCGGTACGGTATTAGTCACCACAACCCTCTGCATCTGGCTATCCTTGATACGTGAGATGGAGGAACCAGAAAATATACCATGCGTCAAGATTGCATAAACGGCCGACGCTCCGGATCCGATTAGTTTATGCGTAGCAAGACAGATAGTACCGCACGTATCCGCCATATCATCGACAAGAATGACAACACGGCCCGTGACGTCACCAACCAGCACCATTGATGCTACTTCGTTCGACATTTTACGCTCTTTGTGGATGAGAGCAAAGTCCACGTTAAGCCTGTCCGCCATCGCAGTTACTCGCTTGGCGCCACCTGCATCAGGTGACACGATGCAGCAGTTTTTCCATTCGGGGACGTTTTCTTTGATCCACCTTGCCACTGCTGGTTCTGCGTAGATATTGTCCACGGGGATATCGAAGAATCCTTGTATCTGTGAGGCGTGCAGATCCATCGTGATGATGTGGTCAGCACCTGACACAGACAGCATGTTGGCTACCAGCTTCGCGGTTATAGGGGCACGGCTCTTGTCTTTCCGGTCTTGTCTAGCATATGGAAACAGAGGTATAACAGCAGTCACTCGAGCAGCAGACGCAATCTTACACGCGTTAATCATGATTAAAAGTTCCATTATATTATCATTAATATCGCCGCATCCGCTCTGTATAATGTAAACGTCCTCGCCACGGACGCTTTCCCCAATCTCCACCCTGGTTTCATTGTTGCTGAATTTTCTTGTCACTACTTTGCCGAGATTAACACCAAGTCGCTCCGCAATTAACTCTGCCAGGCCCTTATGGGAACTACCGCCGAATATCTTTATATTCGGCATCTCGGAGATGAAACTTACCAAACAGTGTGACGATGATGCTTCAGCAATTGTACAGAGACGTATCCGCTTAACGTTTCGACAACGAGTCCGAAGTCCATATGCATATAGATAACGAAATCGATCATTCACGTCTGTTGCATCTTGGGAATTGATATCTCCAAAGCGATTACACCGCGACCTGACACAGTGACCTGAACCAGACTACCCTTGTGTAGGGCTCATACCACTAATTACAACTCTCTAGACGACAATGTTAACATATGACGAGATTGCCATATGAAAATGATAAACAAAGTTGAAAACATGGTTCAAAAATAGGAAATCAACATGCCAGTAATCAACTACATGAAGAAAAAAAATAACATGTAATATTTTATTATAGCGACTTGCAGCTCCAAGAGCTGTCCAGCCCAAAAGACACCTCGACAATCAAAGCGCGGTGGTCTTCGCGTCACGCATGCGCAAGATATGGGTCTCATACAACAAAGATGGCGACTTTGACTGTTCTGCGCAGATTCTAAGACTACCAAGCTTTAATTAGGTATTTTTTTAGATGATTGGAAAGTATCGAAAGAATCGCCAGCGGTAGTTAGTGCAAGTCGCGCCCAGGACAAACCTCATACGTATGATTTCCATTAGAAGAGCGCATTGAATTGTGGGAAAATCAATGTTGAACACAAATGTCGCACACGCGAAGCGCGACGACCACTGCTCTTTAACACAATTGACTAAATCACGCGTTTCATTCGATATTTAACATAAATACATTTGTACGTAAGTCACTATATTCCAGTCGTCACAATCACTTACAAAAGCTTAGAAGACTTTCGTACTCCGCAGATTTTTAACCACACTATTTACAAATTCTTACATTTACATTGTAGGAATATATAATAATGTACTTGTAATACTCAGCATAATATAGTAATTATTTCAGTAAAGAGACCATATTTTTGAAACCACGCCCACTTTTGTGAAACCACGCCCAAATTGTAACTCGATGTTTAATTAACAGTTAACAGAACTTCGAGTTACGGGTAACATATATTTTTTGTTTTGTTCAAGATTAAAATTTTGTAATTCGAGTTATTAACTCGAAATTTAATTAACAGTTAACCGAAGTTCGAGTTACGGACAACATAAAAACTGTTGTTGTTGTTTAATGTCCATATTCAGTAACTCAAATTTTAATTAACAGTTATCATAACTTCGGGTTACGGCAACGTGGTCCATGGCTAATGACGGCCAAGTGAATTTCTAATATTTTCTGGAATCTAACCGTGACATTGGCGTAATTTCAACTGATGAATTGGCGGCAAGAAATCACAATTTAAAGTTTAGCTGTAGTTTTCAAAGTTGTCCTTGTGGTGGCAACATCGCCTTTTAGAAAATAAGATTTTGAAATGAACAGCGAAAATCAAAATGCTATTTTTAATTTGAGGCTTTTCTTTAACATTGACGCGCTCGGGGGGGGGGGGGGTACTGTCGCGCGGTCCAACGATAATAGATCAAAGGCTAGCGGAATCAACAATGTATTCAATGTATCGTGCAATGTTTTAGTCCCGTAATTTTGTTCACATACAGCTTCATTTACAATGCAATCCACTTATTAGAGGGTGTACACCACGATGATTACAGAATCATTTCAGTAATTCCTCTATGCTCGGATATTGAGGGCCAACCGTCATCCCGTCGTGAGAAGTCCCCTGTTTGACAAGAAAACTCATATACTCAATGTCAACAATTTTTTCGATCTCCATTTCAATTTAGCAAGACCACGAATCGGTTAGCGTGGCTTAGTTCTAGAATATAATGACGTCACGTACGAAACAAGCACGTGTCTATCAATATGAATGTTAAAAAGTAGGCGTCAAAACAGAGCTGACTGGTAAATTTGTAGCATGCGCGTTGCTGGGTTCGCCATCGACTGAAAATGTGCAAATAACCGAAAAAGCTCCCTAGCAAATCAATAAAATGAAACATTCCAAATTGAAAATAGGATTTTGATTTTCGTCGTTCATTTCGGAATCCTATTGTTGAAAACTAAATGTCGCCACCGCAGCTAAAATCTAAATTGTGATTACATACCGCGAATTAATAAATTGAAATTACGTCAAAAAAATGTCAGATTCCAGAAAATATTAGAGATTTACTTGACCGTCACTAGCCACGGACCCAACGTAGACTTGTTATTGTTCAAACATTCACATCTACATACCGCCTTTCATTTTTGACCACGCAATAGGCTTGCTTGTTTCAACTTTTGGGCTTAGTCGCTGTGCGCGTTTGTAATGTCACAACAATGTTACTGTTATTATTGCAACACAACGCCGCGCCAGAATTTACTATTAATGTGAAGATTTGAGAATCTGATTTCACGCGTTGATCCAGTGACACGAACGAAAGTTGTGCGTTTTACAATTTACAATGAATCGTCATGTGATAAAAGCGAGCGAGTTAGAGATGAAGAAACGATGGAATGCCGCCGACGAGGAAGTATCACGACTCCGGTTTCTGTAAGCGGTCTGTGGTGGTTTCCAGGCTCCAGCAAGACGTAGACAAGAAGTTGTGAAGATGTAGTACAGGTGACTAACCCAAAAGTTGAAACAAGCAAGCTTAATGCGTGGTCAAAAAAGAAAGACGGTGTAAGGATGGTTGAACAATAACAAAAATCTACGTTGCCGTAACTCGAAGTTATGTTAACTGTTAATTAAATTTCGAGTTAACAACTCGAAGTTTGAATAACTGCTGATTAAAGCTCGAATTACAGAATTTGAAGGTTGAACAAAACAAAAAATATATGTTGCCCGTAACTCGAAGTTTGGTTAACTGTTATTTGAACTTCGAGTTACAGAATGTGGACGTTCAACAAAAAACAAAATATATGTTGCCCGTAACTCGAAGTTCTGTTAACTGTTAATTGAACATCGAGTTACAATTTGAGCGTGGTTTCACAAAAGTAGGCGTGGTTTCAAAAATATTGGCGTGGTAATTTCTGTAACTCGATGTCCGTAACTCGAACAATTCGACATCTCCCAGTGTTATGTACCAGTCATTCATTGCTTTCACTTAAAGCAGAGGAGTCGTCACCTGCGCATGCGTCAAATGGCCAGAGCGTGTCACAAACAAGCGTCTAACCATGAGCCTTTACGCTTTTAGCGTGTGTTGTTATCATCGCTCGGAACTTAATTCCCGTGCGTGCGCAGGCGATGACCCTCCCGCTTTAATTCCTATTGCAAAATGTGCCAGCTTCAATATTTAAGCAGATTATCGTACGCTGGTTATCCCTGCCCTGTTTTTATCGTGAGTTTTTTTTATCCAGGAATTATTCCCATTCCTCTTGTGCAGTCGAAACACAAACATTTTGCACTAATAGTTGAGAAAAAATTGGATTTTTAACAACAAACGTGTTTATATAAAGGATATTTAACGAGTTATGCCTGTACAGAAATATACAGAATTCTGTTCTTATTTTTTTTACATGGTTGCCATTGATTCACGACTTTATTACAGGTACACACAATTGGATTATTAGACAACTATTTAACTGTAAACACTTCTTAGATACTAGATATCTATATCAAAACATCAAAGCATTCTCGTGGTCCTGGTTATAACCGATGCCTAACAATTGGCGTCCTCATCTGGCCGTCTGGAGAAAACGCGGAAATGTAAACATTCGAGTTCAACAAGTCAATGTTTTGCAGTCGCGGATAGGGTTCTCAACAATTCACCTGACTGTGATGTAGCTTCACCTGCTGAAAGACGTGCTTCATCATGACATCGTATTTATTTATTTCAGCCTTTATAGCGATTACCTCTGTGTTTCACGAAAATCATGGTTCTCCCACGCATGGATTTATGCCCAACCGGGACACAGAATGGGAAACGTGGAATCAGGTACGCAAAACAATATGAGAAAACTGACAAAGAAGCAATGAGAATGCAAGTATGGCAAAGCAATTCTCAAAGGCGGAACTACGTCACGATCCCTCAAACCTTGCCAGGACCGATCACGCTACCCCCCCCCCTCCCCCCTCCACGTTAACGAACAAATCTGTTGTCTTCCCGTTTCGGTCCGTCTTTGAGAATATACAGACTATATATAAACAGTGTTAGCAACCACAGGTGATTGTCACATTTCTTAATCAGTTGTCTGTATGTGTAAGAACGAGATTATGTACATACACGCATATAATAAATGATTTATTATTATTATGCGAGTGTAATACACATACAGGCAACGTAATAAGCGCCCGTGTCTTAACAACTGGCTATTTGTTCATGTCAAAAAAAAACGCGTTTGGTGATCTGACGAGTTTACAGATTTCTACAATACATTCACACCATTGGCTTGCAACTTTCAGATAAATATTTTGTAACAAAAATGTAGTACATGATAGCTGGTATTTGTAACCGCTACCAGAACAATTATGCATTGCTGGGCTTCTTTCTTTTGTGTATCATATAGAGTCCTTCCCGGTTTTCTTAAAACTGACAAACTGTATATGTGCACCTTTATATGAAATCACCTTATTCATCATTGAGAAACTTTCGAGAAATTTTAGAATTTAGCAAATTCTAAAATGGCCACCAGTCAGACGTATTTTATCAAATAGTGAAGAAAATTGATGTGCATTAATGTGATGATTTATATTGTCTCTGTGCTAAGCTAGTCCTTGATTTTAGACAACCAAGGACTCTGACACAACGTTTTTGTAAGAGAAATAAAATGCCATTGTCATTCTAGAACAAAAGGCCCATATTCCAGTTATCTGATGGATCTAAAGAAAACATCACTGGTGATTTGCACTTGAATAACAGAATAGCAAAGAATGTTGACTGGAGAACAAAAGGAGTGGTAAATCCTGTGCGAAACCAAGGGCAGCTAGGCAGTGCTGCTGCAATGGTAGCTGCAGGTAAGCATTAAGGACAGTAGTTCTGCTGCAATGGTATCTGCAGGTAGGAGTAAGAACAGTAGTGCTGCTGCAATGGTATCT